ATCCCTTACAAGGCCCGAACATAAGCGCTGCTAGTGCCGCTCCAACATAACAAATTCTCGTGTCCGCCATATTGTTATTACTATTTATAGGAAGAAAATAATAGCATGTTGTGGTGTAACACAATTACGTAACGTGCATATGAAATTTCATGAAAATCAGGTTGTTCGTTCAAAAGTTAAAAGGGCCACACTGAGACATACACTCTTACAGCATCGTGATCTCATAAGTACACCTTTATTTCCTCAAGGAAAGTAGTAGAGAATTGTGAATATATACATATTTTTCAGTATAATGACAATACTCCCGAAATGTCTCATATATAAAATGAAACTCTAAAAAATTCACAAAATTTCAAGTAGTTTCGGCGGAATGAACCAGTTACTTCCACAGATATTTGAGAAATATTAGAAAGTGATACGTAACAACTAAACATAAAAAAGTGACTCGTTCTAGCGTACTTGTAATGGTGGTGGGGCAGTAGTAGTTGCTGTAGACGTAATTACATTCAAATCATAGGAATAAAATAAACAGCTGGCATATGCCGTCCGAGTAGGGCATGCCGGTGGCAGATTTCATGTTTCTTCCTTGTTAATTGTTGACGTAAGCTGATAAGACTGAATAGACCATGTTTGTAGATGCGGGCCCGTTGTAGTCTGCCCGTCTCTCTGCTGTCTTCGCAGAAATGTCAACATTCGTTAGGCCCCCACCCAACTCGCTTTCCCTCACCAGTAGTATTACGTGTACGTTTCCTTGAGATTATGATGTTAATTTAATTCTTTATTATATATGGCCGAGTCAACAACTAACGAGATCAATTGCAGACTCAGCACAGTCTAGATACAGGTGATTACATTATGGACAAACACAACAAATTATAGGCAAGCATATCTATCTGTCTATGGCTCTACATTCCTTTTGTTGGACCTTGGCGGAATTTTCAGCTTCTTAATCCTATACACAGCCTGTAAGACTCCTTGGTCGTGGGATCGGCCAGTCGCAAGAAGACCGCTACCTACACACAGAACAACACAAAGGATAAACGCAGACATCCGCGCCTTGATTGGGATTCGAATCCACGATCCCAGCGTTCGAACGACCAAAGATAGTTCATGCCTTAGACCGCGCGGCCACTGCGATCGGCACAGGCAAGTACTGGAGAAAGAAAACACATTAATACAGAAAAAGGAAACAGACAAATAATATGAAGAGCGATAACAAGAACATAAAAACTAAGAACTACATAACATAGCAGTACTACTACTACTACTACTACTACTACTACTACTACTACTACTACTAATAATAATAATAATAATAATAATAATAATAATAATAAACTTCACGGAACAGAGGTACCTTGAGAAGCTAATAGTCTTTCAGTTAGTCAATAAATTCCTTTCCCTTTACGGAACCCGAAGTTTTACTGCGGCGCTGACGAGAGCCCGCCACTGATCCCGAACTTGATGCAAAAGAATTCACACTCTTCCACCCTGCTTCTTACTTACCACTCCAATATTACCGTATCACTTACGCCAAGTGGCCAAGTTTTCGGTGTCTGAGTAATATCTGATTTGCATTTCTTATCTCTCCCACCCTGTAGGAAGCTCATCATATTCCATACTCCTTGATTTGGTCGCCCTAATAATATTTGATGGAGGGTACACATTATGAAGCTCCCTGCTGCGCAGTCTTCTCCAACCTCCTATAACTCCTTTACTGTGCGTTGCATTCACCTTTATAACAGTAGTTTATTTTTATTGCTAGTGGGGCGGGACTAAGTCCCTTGTACTGCGGCCACTTCTTTTTCCCCCTTTGGCACTACAGCCCAAGTCAGCCTAGGCCTACCTCCACGAACTTCTCCGTTCACTTCGGTTTTTCTAGATCTTACACATTCGGTAGGACTCCTTGGGCGGGTGATCAGCTCGTCGCAAGACCTCTACCCGTACACAAACACAGAAAAACGCACACACACACACAAACTAAACATCCATGCCTTGAGTGGGATTCTAACCCACTATCCCGGTTTCCAAGCGAGCGAAGACAGTACATGCCTTAGAACTGCGGCCAAATCTGGCCTTTTGTACCAGCCCCAGATGATAGGTGAGGGTGATTGTGGAGCGATTGGTGGAATGAAGATTGGCAGGGGAAACCGAAGTACAAGCGCCACTTTGTCCACCACAAATCCCACTTGACCAGACCCGGGATCGAACTCGGAGCTATGGCGCAGCCCTAACGGCAGCTTACTCTTACGTTCCTGTCGCCTTCGTGCGAACAAACCACACATGACTACCCAGTGCGTACCTTTTACGTACAAAGCGGATCAGTGCACCAGATCGACACTGTATCACCGATTTTCGTCTATGAAATTATAGCTGCAGGTTAAGACTCTCGCACTGTGGCATTAGGGCGGGGTTACGGGGGGAGAGATGGTTAGGGTTAGAATGTCGACCTGTACGAGGTTGGTTCCTGTTATACTATTTATCATGAATAAATGAGGTTCGAGAAGCGATCAATCAACGTCATAATGTATCCATGTGCTGGACTGGCATATCATGATGTTGGGTGATGCGGGAAGGAATGAACGAGTGATTGAGAAGTGCACCGCCTGTCATCCCGGTTCAGTGACAATCACAACACGACTAGAAACACAGGAGATCAAACCGGACTGTCGCGTGCTCTCGTACCAAACACTGTTTCGTCAGGGAGAGTCGTTGGAAGACTCGGATAATTTTTGTTGATGGAAACTTGAAGAAAGCACATTAATGGATCAAATAACTCTGCTTTCTTATACATAACTGGTTAGCATAATAAAATACGTTACAAGTTTCTTTATTGCTGACTGAATTTACAACAATAAGTTCAAAATGAGACCCTCCACGTCCAGTGCACAACACATAACGCGTTGATAGTGTTATATAAACCGACTGGCAGACTTAAACCTGAAAAGTCCCTATACTACGAGAGAATGTGTTAGGTTAAGTGATTTTCGGGCCACTCTGTATATGCAATTATTTTCGTATTTGGTGGGATAAATTTGAAATCCAATCGGATAAAGGAATTATGAATTTTTCATCAGACACGATATATTCCATGACACACATTTCATTCAACATTTCTATCCTCCGTCACTGCGAGATTCAAAACTGTTCCCATTTCATAAACATTGTTTGAAACATGTAAATCCAGACTTGAAACTGAACGCAAGGTATAAATATTGTAACGTGGATGGCCAGAGCGTTGCTAAGCGATGAATCGGTAAACAAGCCTCAACAATAGAGAGGTTTCTTTCTATGGTTCCGCGCCATTCGTGAAACACGATAAACAATATGGGCTGTTCTTTCCATGGCGTCCGTGCAAAAGAGTTATCTTAAAGCAAACGGCTCTACGATTCAGTTCTGAGTTCTAGGTAGAAGATAGCCAGGGAAAGTTCGTCAAACTGTGAAGAGTTAAAGTGTGATTATAAGGCTTCGTTCATGCGTAATACTTGGAGTGTGTGATTTATTGAGACTCTTATAGTTCCTGCTTTTAAGTTGTGGTACCAGGAGAGGACCAGTGTGTGTATATATATCAGCGATAGCGCTGTATTTAAATGCGATTAAGAGAACTTGCAACCAGGATGCTAATAAACTCAATCATCCACAATAGAAGCCGTCATTTTCGTCACGCGTACCACCCTACACGTGTCAATATATTATTTTTATTGATTAACAGATAATCATTAAATATTATAGAAGTATAAGTCACCAGCAAATTAAATTCTTAAAAATAAGTGCAAGGGCTAATAAGAGGCAATTTTTCTAACTACGTAAGGTGAAACAGCCCTCATATTAAGAGTGAAGAGAGTGTGAGATTGTAAACTCGAATTAAACTGTGCAGAGGGGGGGGGGAAGAATTTCTGGTTGTCTGTACCTCTGAGAAATTAACTTCAACCAAATGAGAGAGAATCTGTATTGTAACTAACGAACACACTAAGCACAGTCCTTTTTGAGAAGCCAATATTGCTCAGTTGCTCTTGAGCAACTGAGCAATTTGTATTTGTATCCTTTGTCACTATGGCACAGTGCGTCCATAGCGGATCGACTGAGGAAACCGCCTCCAGGCGTGGAGGCGAACGTACTGAATTAGCGGTTGCGGACATCCCATGAGGTGTATGTGTGTGTGTGTGTGGGGGGGGGGNGCAGTGTGAACAACCGTAGAAACCGACATGTTGCGAAATATTGCTCAGAATATTATATTTCAGCAACCTGCTGCAATGTATACATCTGACTTTGGAGTTTTTGCACCGTCTAGGTGCAACGAGGTTGACTGGTCCTTTATTGGAAATTATTTCACTACATGTTTCGGCCTAACTTGCCATCTTCATGTGTACAGGTGTTGTGGGCAAGGATACTGCTGCTTACTGCAATGCGGTTTTTCTTCTTCCTATTGCAGTAGCTACATGTTATTTATGGTTGCAAGTGGTTTTGGTGTTGGTTGGTCTGCTTGTGGCTGCCTTGAGTGTTCTCGTTGGGGCGTGTGTTTTGTTGCCTGTTGATTGGCCATCGCAGTCGTTCGTTGTGGGTATTTCGTTTTCTATGAAAGAAACAATCAACGACGTTGCACTTAGACGGGGCAAAATCTCTAAGTCAGATTGCTTAGAACTTCGGATTTGAACGGACTTATTGTCTTACTAAGTAAACTAATCTGTGTTGAGAAAGCAACATGTAAAGCGTACGTTAAGTCCTCGCGTAATGTTTCGTTTCTTGATATTACAAGCATAATCACTTATGCAATATTTTCTCACTTGAAGAATCTTCCGTTCTGAGATTTGTCCAGACACACAAAACCATGTTATGATACTTTTTTAATAAATCTCGTCGGACGTCGTTTCTAAAGTCAAGCGAGACTGACTGTGTTTGATGTCTGAAAATTAAAACGATTTATTGTCTCGCTGACAAGCAAATTCCCTTCCAATAATTGTCTAACTGGATTCATTAGTAACTTTTATCTGCACACACAGAGACAGAATCAACCTGGCCGTGCTCTCCCTCATAGAGAACGGAGAGCTGACGAAGTTGAAGAACCGCTGGTGGTACGACCGAACTGAGTGCAAGCATAGCGACAAACAGGCAAGTACTGTGGGCCATTAATCTCTCTAACCGCTGTTCCAGGAACTGCTGAAGGCAAGTCTTGTATCAGCAATCTTTCAGAAACGTTCGTCTGACTCTTCGGAATCCACCATTTTTCCATACTCAATTACTCAGTGTCAGCATGGAAGCTGACAAATACGTTATCGATGGCGGTTCGTGTACCATATGAGCATTCATTTAACCTATAATAACCTAAATTTCATTCCAGAAGAAATTACGGGCACATTATAAATGGGATTTGCTTAGTGTCATTCAGTTGGAAACCCTCTCTCTCCCCATTTTCTGTATAAGGATATGAAAAACTTAAATTTTACCTATTGTTTTGTATGGACATCTCACTTTGAGTGTCTGAGTTCAGAGAGACGTTGAGAATATTTGGATGTATGACAAAATTTTTTTAAGGAGAGGTTTTCGAAAATTGTAAAATGAGGAGCTTCATAATTTGTGCCCTTCGCCAAAAATTATTGATTACTGCCCATGTAGTACACATGTAGGAGACAAGAAATGTATACAAACTTTTAGTAAAAATCCTGAAAGTAAAGTGTCAACTGCGAGAATTTAGCCTCAGAAATAGATGGAAATGAATGATCAGTATCATTCCGCTTTACCCTGCTTTACTATGTAACATATGCCCTTTTAAAAATATGGGAAAATAGGTAAGAAACTAGTGAACGATTTATATCTAGTTGCAAGAACATTCTAATTTAATAATTGTGAGCATCTTATGAATTAGTAACATACTTCTGCAGTGGTTTGTGGGTACCACCAGAAGAGTTATATACGCAGTCGTTATAATCCAGCCACAAATACAGCGCTCTCAGAACATGAAATGCTAATATTCAATGTATTACCGTATTTACGCATGTATAGGCCGCGTGCGTGTATAGGCCACAGCACAATTTTCAGAGAGAAATTATAGAAAAAATAATTTTCTTGGAATATTATTTCAAGAGTAGAACACCCTGTATTACTAATTATGAATATATATTTTTTTAAATGAAGTGTGATTTCGAATATTTCGAATATAAGCCGCACCCCACTTTTCCTCTTGAATTTTTGGCAAAAAATGTGCGGCCTATACATGCGTAAATACGGTATTTTGTACCAGACAGAGGAACTTGCCGTATTTCCCTTCAGGGTCTTGGGGTGGGCTGAAACTGAGTCCACTTGGTACGTCGGCCACTAATTGTCCTATTGTAGTAACCCCAGATGATAGATAACGATGAATGGAGCAGTCGGTGGAATGACAATTGACAGGGGAAATCGAAGTACTCGCAGAAAACCTGCCCCAGTGACATTTTGTCCATTACACATCCCACAGAACCTGAGCTGGGATCGAACCCGAGCCGCCGCGGTGGGAAGCCGGCGACTGATCGCCTGAGCTATGGCACGGCTTCACTTCAGGGTCACTTGGACACTGAAGAATGAAGCAGCTGGTTACACTTGACCATAATCAGTGACGATCTCGGTGCAAGGGCCAAATTACTATGGCCCACCCTTACACATACATACACACATGCACATATACGTACATACATATGCATATATATACATACATAATTTCACCTTGAGGTAATGTTCGCCTTTTCGACAGCTACAGATCTGATGCCCATAATAAACAAAGATATGTGGAAACTAAAATGGAGCTAGGCTATCTTACACAAGTAAGACAGGACAGTGAATGTAAAATAGGCCTAAAATGTTTTTTTTAAATTCGCATAGTGGGGGGTGGAGTCCAACTGGGTCCACTCGGCACGGAGGCCACTGATTGGCGTATTGTAGCCTGCACCGGGTGATTATGATGATGGAGAATTTGGCGGAATGAAAATTGGCAGGGGACATCGAAATACTAGGAGAAAACTCGCCCCAGCGCCACTTTGTCCACCACAAATCCCACTTTTCCAGACCCGAAATCGAACCCGGGCCGCAGTGGTGGAAGCCAGCGACTAACCGCCTTAGCTATGGCCCGGCCTTAAAATAGGCCTAAGTGAACTTATTTACTGTGCATTATGGTCTCATGCCTAAGTGAACTTATTTACTGTGCGTTATGGTCTCATTTTTACAAAGTTCTCATGAAGCAGGTATTTGAAATTTATATATTTATTAAATGAAAAAAAAATGCCAAACAAACTGCGACCTGTCGGTATTTTATGATGGTTGCATTTTTTCTATGTTTTTACCTAAAAATAAGTCCAAAGTTTAATTAAGCTGTTGCTCTATGCGTTCGGTAAATGTGGTTTTCCGTACGAGAGCCTTCATTTGCGCTGAACTTATATTACAGACTCGAGTTTAACATAAAATATTACGAAAACACATTGTGCTGCCTGCTGGCAAGGGTACCTTGAAGGCGAATATGTGGTGTGTACTCACAAATATTGAAGTGATGGTTCATATCTCAATTATCCAGCCTGGTGAAGTTATAACCTCATGCTGACCCAAAGCTTGAGGCACATTCTAACATCATCTTCCAGCAAAGTGGTGCACACCCGTATACCGCTAATATTATTCACTCAGCATGCGAACAAATTTGTGGATAGAGGAGATAAATTTCTTGGCCGCCCCTTTCACCTAACCTCAGTCGAGTTTATTCGCTTCTTTGGAAGGATGTAAAGGACGGAGTGTATGCGTACTTCCCAAAGTGGCATTGCTGCAATAGGTGAACCTACGCAGCTGCAATCACACAGGATACGGTGCAGCGCACGTGGTAACGATGAATTACATGTTACGTGTATATCGAACTACAAACGGAACTCATACCGAAATGGGGCCGATCACAGGGGCCGCGTGGTCTAAGACTTGAACTGTCTTCCCTGGCTCGAAATCAGGGATCGTAGGTTCGAATCTCACTCATGGCATGGACGTCTGTGTGCGTTTATTCTGTGTTTGTATTCTCTGTGTAGGTAACGGCCTTGCGACGGGCTAATTCCCCGTCCAAGGAGTCCTACCGACTGTGCATAGGATCAAGAAACTGAAAAAGCGGCCAAGGTCCAACAAAAGACTGTAGTGCCGTAGATAGATAGATAGACAGACAGACAGACAGACAGACAGACAGACAGACAGATAGATAGATAGATAGATAGATAGATAGATAGATAGATAGATAGATAGATAGATATCGAATTAGGAGAACACTCTTAAAATTAAAAGAAAACACTGTAATTTTAATTTACAATCGGTTTATCTCTTTAACTCATTGCATTCTACCTGTAATAAAATTCATATTTAAATTTGAAATACTGTCCTCCTATTGACGTTCTGTGTAGGTTTCGTTATTGAAGGGAGCAAAACGATATGAGGCAGATACGTTTATGCTCTCCCTTACGTCACATGTCTGACGCATTAGTCGGCGCGATGTAATGAAGAAATATTCCCTGTACCATTAGTTACACCCACTCGTTCCGATGGGTTGACAGAAGATCAAGGAGACTGTTCCAATATTAATGTTTTCCGCCGCCAAACATTTCTTGATTATGCTCGATTCTTCACAGAAGCTTCATCTACCACTAACAATTTAGTAGTTATCTATTCACATCACAACACGCACTTTCTCAGGTCTGGATGGGAATATGACTGGTGCCCAACTTCTTCAAACCACCAAATGAATAATATCTAAAAGTCTGTGACGATGGCATGTTGCTACAAGTATTATGTTTTTGGACATTATCATCATCTTGTCTATTTCCTAAAAAAAAAAGTCCTGTTTATTTTTTAAAACACAACGTTTCGGAGACTGGATCCTGTCCCCGTCTCCGGTAAGGAGATATGGGCTACCTCTATCAATTGGACCCAACTGAGTAGATTTTATCCGAGGACGGGGACAGAATCCAGTCTCCGAAACGCTGTGTTTTAAAAAATTAACAGGACGGTTTTTAGAAAATAGAAAGGACGATGGATAATCACCAAATACATAATACTTGCATCAAATGAATGTTCGTAATACACACTATAATCGTAATGTAAACAGATATCCGAGCTCTAAAAGCAATTAGCAGTGAAGCCGGGGACGAAAGCCACATGAACAGCGAGACAGCATATCATTTTACGACGTGTCAATAACAAGACGACACAGCAGCGGTTATAGGATGACTGGCAGGAGAAAACCCGCTTTGGTGCCACCTTATCCACCACATACCCCTCACGAACTGACCTAAAATCGGTGGAAAGCCGGCGACTAATAGCCTAAAGTATGGAATGGGCTGACGCAGCCTGTGAATAGGGAATGTTCCTCGTGAAAAAGGGATTTTCCTTGTGAGTAAGGGTGTTCCTAAGATTGAAGAGCCGACTGCATATATGTAAATTTTAGAAAGGTCAGAAAATTTGGAATTAACTACAAAACTGAACGAAACGCACATACATGAATATTTTCGTGGAAATTTGAATTAAAGAATTAGTTACATTCGAAATATTGTATGGAGATAAAGGAAGGAAAGGCGAAAATGAGGGCAGACAGAAGGAAAAGAAACTTTCTTTTGAAAGAGTGATACGAAAGTGTACATGTTTTCCGTTCATCAGATCATAACTGATAACTCTCATTGCACTGTGTCCTATAGGAACAGGGATAGCGCAGTAGCTATAGCGACTGGCTACGGGATGGAAGGCAGAAGGGTCGGAGTTCGAGTCCTGGTAGGGTAGGGTCTTCCACGTCACTCAGACCGGCCCTGGAGCCCACCCAGCCTCCTATCCAATGGGTACCGGCTGCGCTTTCCCCGGGGGTAAAGCGGTAGGGGCGTGAAGCTGACCACTAAACTCCTTTCCCGTCTGCCAACTAAAACGCTGTAAACATTTCTCATCCTTTGATGTATGTTACATGAGCTTCGTTTCTCATCTTAGATTTGTCTGATGAAGTGTAAAAAGATGCAAATCTGCACACAATATGCATAGCCAGAGCTCCCGTTTCAAAATGGTATGTGCCGTTTGGGCCACGGAAAATACTGAAGGAACTAAGACTCTTTTAAATGTTAGTCAGAGATGGAACTGTTATTCTGAGAGCGCAGCAGCAGCTCACTCTTCAGTCTGACAAACACAATGAAAGAGAGGTAGAGTGATTCTTCATTACACTTAGGAGTTAATCTAATTCAAGGCCGCGCCGTAGCTGAAGCGTTTAGTTTCTGGCTTCCGACCGCGGCGGCCCGGGATTGAGCTTGGGTCTGGTCAAGTGGGATTTGTGGTGGACAGAGTGGCGCTTGGATGGATTTACTCCGAGTACTTCGATTTCCCCTGCCAATCTTCATTCCACCAAATTCTCCATCATCATCATAATCATCCGGGGCAGGCTACAATAGGCGAATCAGTGGCCGATGTGCCGAGTGGACCCGGCTGGACTCCACCTCCCACTATGAGAATTAAAAAATAATTTAATCTAATTCAGCTCTAGCAGAATGGAAAGCATTTATGAAACATTCTGATGAAAGTTTTTTGTGCGTGAAGACGGTGCAGGTCAACTGGAGGGAAAATTAAATGTGAAACTTTCAAGAAGTATCCTCTGTACTTTTAACCCCTTATCAACGAAACAAATTTCGGAATTTATTTGACTTTTACGTGACCGTTCGAATGAGATGATTTTATTGCTGGATGAACGTTATCTGTATCTGTCTCTGGAGCACATGACATATCCGAAACTTGACGTTGCAATGTCACTGCATCTCATCCACAGGATGCATCCCGTAACGAACTGTCGCTAAGCAACGTGGCTGGCATCTTCTACATTCTCATAGGAGGCCTCATTCTCGCCATGGCCGTGGCGCTCCTGGAGTTCTGCTACAAGTCTCACACAGAGGCGTCGCGAGCAAAGGTAATGTGTCAGCGTAATCAGTCAATTCAATGTTTCTTCTCCTCCCTAAGAATCTGAAACTCACTGAGACTGAACGGTATTGTTTTAATGACAAGTAATGGCTCAACTTCAGTTGTAACATAAAAATTTGTTTTATTATTATTGGGGTACGCGGTAGCGTAGTTGATTGAGGCACTATGCTACAAGACGGAAGATCCCGAGTTCGAGTTCCAATGAGGTGGATTTTTAAAATTACCTGATCCTTCCAGCCGCACTATTACCCTGGGGTGGACTCAACCTCTGACAGAAATGAGTACCAGAAATCTTCTTGGGGGGGGGGGGGTAAAGGGCTGCCGGCGTGTAAGGCTGACAACCGTACAGCCTTCTGTGAGCCGATTGTCTAGAAAACGTGGCAGCTTCAACCTCTTACAACCCTATGGACCTTCAAGGCCTGTTACAGGGATAAATTTACCTTATTTTTATTTTATTTTTCTTGCCTGTTAAAGCTAACTCCAATTTTTCTTGGAATTGTTATTAATTTATTGTTTTTATATAGACTGCCATATTTTGTATTTTGCTTCTTAAATATTTTTGTGTATTTCTATGTACTCGTGCCAACTTTGTAATTGGCCACTGTGCTCTTAAGTTTGCACGTAAATAAACACGAAGTGAATTATTATTATTATTTTATTATTATTATAGCAGTAGTAGTATATACGTTTGTTAACAGTTTAAGTGAAGACCCTTTCAGTTCCAAAGTGTGTACTCTATAGAGGCCACTGATAGGATGACTGGTGAATAATAATTTGGAAACGATAAGAACGGAATTGATAATGTACCAATTGTTCTCATTTAAGATATATGTCGGCATTTATCTTGAGGAACTGAGAAAGGCCATGAAAATTCTAACTCAGGATACACGCTCTCCGGACAGAGGTTTAAGGCCCGGACGTCATAATATGAAACTGTAAAGTTAACCACTCAGACTAAGATTTCAGTAACTAGTTTAAATGCTGTCAATGTTGTTAATATTTAGGTATTTCATTCTCCGTACATATTAATTGTAATGCATGTTCAAACAACGGCGTCAACGAGCTATAATCTGGGTGAGTCGCACAACATATAATCTCAAAACAAAATAGACACTACTGTGTCAACATTTGTTTTTATTCATGTCTGGTGTTATCGCTAAATTTTTCGACCCTTTTCCTGGGCCATCTTCCGGCCTACACGAATAAGATTTAGCTTCTGAATTGTGTCATTGATCAACAGTGTCTTATTTATCCATTAGTTAATACTCGGAAGAACTCTCCTGACTACAGAGTGAAAAATAATAATTATATTACATGAATATTATAATTTATGTTGAATATGACATCAGAAACACTACGAGAAATTTGTCTTAAGATAGGTTCAAAGAACGAAATATAAGCCGGTTCATTAACGTTTCCTCAGTGACATCAGAGTTTACGTAAACTTAGAGCACTTAGTAAGCTTGCTTCTTAACACGTCAGGTCCCGGGTTTTATGCTCGGGCCAGTGGCCATCTAGCCTTACTGAGGTTCTAGTAGTTTCCGTAGTTATTTTTAGTACACGCTGGGATAGTATTATTGCTAGTGGGGTGGGACTAAGTCCCTTGTACTGCGGCCACTTCTGGCCTATTGTACCCGCCCCAGATGATAGGTGAGGGTGATTGTGGAGCAATTGGTGGAATGAAGATTGGCAGGGGAAACCGAAGTACTCTGAGAAAACCTGCCCCAGAGCCACTTTGTCCACCATAAATCCCACTTGACCAGACCCGAGATCGAACCCGGCCCTCCGCAGTGGGAAGCCAGCGACTAACAGCTTGAGCTATGGCGCGGCCCGTCACTGGGATAGTAGCTTGAAACAGGCCACTTCCACATGCATCTTACATCAGACACTCGTCATTTCATTAGGTTTTATATAACACATTAAGCTGAGGAAGCGTTGTTGAAGGAGTCAAGAATTAAATTCAGAAACAATAATATTTAGAGAGGATTAATCCTCAAGTGTTTTCTGTAATCAATACTTTTTAAAAATAATTTGTGTATAATAACGTCGCAAAAACAGAATAATATTGTGGCTTACTTGCTCACTGGAAGAACTGTGCAGGCAGAGAAACAGCTGTTGCTAGGTAATGCCGTCACGCAACAATGAGGAGGTTTCACAATACGTGACGCGCACAGCTGTTGCTGTGGAGCAATTGGGTAAGTATGTGCGCGGTGACGTCACGGAACAATAGAAAAGGTATTGCAAACGGCGTTCTCTGTGAGTCCGCTCCGAAGCTATATGACACGACCGAACGAGTTTATTTCAGCGAGTGAGTGAGTGCAGTACAGTGCAGGGTTCAATTGCGGGGTTTTAACCAGTGGGCAACGTAAGCAGAAGATCCGTTAGCAGGAAACGTCTAGTGAAAATACTGTTGTAGTTATTTGTAGTTACAACCTGTAAGTGGTCAATAAATATATTCACCAATCCAAGCCCTGTCTATAGTCACTAATACACGTGACACTATTAAAGGCGTCAGATTATTTTCCAAATCTTCTGTCGTAATTTATGTTTTGCCTATGTGGTTCAAAAACAAACTGAAACAAACAAAGCGTTTTATAGAATGAGTGCTCCTGAATGACTATTTTCTGCACTGAAGTTACGTGACTTTTGCAGCCCGGCAAAGCATATAATTAGTAAGATCGTGACAATATTTTGTTTAATTAAACAGAAGTTCTGTTTAATGGACTTAGGTACACACATTAGTGGGACTGGATGAAAAGAATTAACTATTTTATAGTTTTTGAGTCTCCGAATGCAAAACCCTGTTGTGAAAACACCAATTTCTCATCACACTCAAACAAATAGGTGTTTCAACTTAGTACTTCCAAAATGTACAGGTTTTGGCCCATGTTAATTGTTCTTGGCGCTCTTTTCTGTCGTTAAAAAAACCACAAGGCAGAAAAGACGAGGAATCAACGTATGCCACAAATATTTGTCTGTGAAAAAATCCATCCTTAAAGAATGGTTTATTTGTGATTATTAGGACAGGAAGAGTTGAATATGGGCTGCTTGAGTAGAAGGAAATTAACATATATGTACTTGTCCTCCTGTTGCACGCAGATTCCACTGTCCGATGCAATGAAGGCCAAAGCTAGACTCACCATCGGTGGTGGCAGAGACTTCGACAATGGCCGGGTAAGTTTAACAGCATCGGAACCGGAAAGACAGCTCATTCACCGCTATTACAGCGCTTAACTCATACCTCGTGTTGCCAGCTCGTTTCCGGCCACAATTGCGTGGTGGAGGCATTCCAGATTGTCGTCCTTTGATTTTTATTATTAGAGAGTTTTAGAATATGCATAATTGTTTTTCATTGAGTTAATTTCCACGTCTTGATTTCTTCTCTTTTGTTTCCTTGTTCTTTTTTCCCATATTTCTTTTTTTCTTCAGTTGTACGGGCAGGAGTCATAGAAGGAAAATGGCGGGAGTGTCAGTCATCTGTCTGGACTTTGGCATCGCGTGAGTACTAAAACCCCCAAACAATTAAAAGAAGAAATAGCCTATTCACTCCGCTTCTACAGAAAGCGCACGTGAGCTTGTTTTCACTACACGATCTCTCCTTCCAGTCATAACTACACGGACACCTCTGTCGGCTCTTCGCTCCTCTTCCTTTCACCCGGGGTTGTTCAGATACCAAATTTTAAAAGGAGGAACAAACACTCACATTAAAGTGATTCTCATTTACGAGTAAATGTCCACTCTGATGATAAAGCATGATAAAGCCTAAACAGAAATATACAAACAATGAGAACATATAATATATTGGATAATTATCCAGTTGAAATTTATTATTTACAATTACGTGTTCATATTGCTATTAGAATTTTATTTAGAATTAAAAGCAAAAATTTCAGAGTTATTAAGTAGTGACATCTCGGTGATGGCTGATCCGGATGGAGAGAAGAGAAATGGATTTAGAATTTTGGTGCGTAAACCTTTCACAAATTCGTCATCTGGAAGACCGAGCATGAGCTGAGTGAACAGCTGTTAAGATTAATTTTTGGAGACCCGTTGCATGAGCGACCAGTTTCTGGAACTAGCACAGAATATTGAAATATGTAGCATTTTTAATGTTTTCATAAAATTTCTGAGATTGGATGGTCGGTCACTTCATGGCGTATACAAAATTTGTAAGATTTTAATAAAAATCTGTTAAAAACTTTAAAATTACGTGCAGAAAATTTGTAATGACAGTATTTTGGGGGGTTCGAAACTCTCGGAGACCCAAATTTCAGATATCCATTATCTTTATTGCAGTTTGAATAATATGAACTGCACTAATTGGCGTATGTTATCATCTCATTATCATCGATTACAAATCAGATAGTTAAATTAATTTAAAATTATTATAGAGTTTCATACAAACTGGAAAATTTTATGTAAGATTTGAGGCTTTCACGGCGGTGACTATGAAGAAAGCAGTCTTCTGGGATTTGGCACTGTGTATATGTGGTGTTAACCGACGTTTCGNTTTAGTTTTCCTTGTGGTCCATTTACGTTGCTAGAGATATAAGGCACAAACTACTCGTACTTTTATCTCACATTTTAATACCCCTTATTATTAAGTCATCCGGACTCTTACTAATTTATTGAAGGGAAGGCGACGCACTGCTTACACGGAATTCGAACTAATGACAATACAATGTTTTCTGAAGTCGTAAACAAAAAGATGTTCAGGCGTGCTGTATGACTCAGATCGCATTTTAGGTGTAGTACGGATAGCTGAGCCGGTATAGCGACTAGGCAACGGGCTGGACAACTAAGGAGTCAGGGTTCAGCTCCCAGTAGAGGTATGAGATTATTCTCTTCTACAACTTCCAGACCGGCAATGGGGCCCACCCAGTTTCCTATATAATGGGTATCGGGGGCTGTTTGGGCTAAATCAGCAAGGGCGTGAAGCCCACCCCTCGCCTGTATCTATTATTATTATTATTATTATTATTATTATTATTGGAGGGGGTGGGTTACCCCATGCACCGCTACCAGGGGTCTATTGTACGTCTCCCTGTGATATTCTACCAGTCTCTATACCCTACCGATACTGGTGCGTGCCATCAGTCCCGACTCAGCCAGCGAGTTCGGCCTCTACTGGCTCAGCGGTATCTAGATGCTTTCTCCATCTACCAGAGGCGTTAGAGACTATTGTTGGGCGGGAAACGTCCTTGTAATTTGGCTCAGAGACCTCCTTGAGGCATGATGTACTTTTACGTGCCGTAAAGCTATGACACGGGACCCACGGCTTAAAGTCCATCCCGGAGGACTTGTTCCCTGAATTTTTCCGCCCTTAAAAATTGCACGACCTCCGCCGGGTTTGAACCCGCGTACCTTGAGTCATGAGGTGGGAACGTTACCCCTAGACTACGGAGGCCGCTTTGCCTGTATCTAATGTCAAGGTTAATATTGGTGGAGCTATACCTCCACTCTTCTATAAAACTTCATGGCATGATGCTTAATTAATTAAGCCCAGGAACAGCTTTACTTTTTACCACCTCATGAAGTATCGGTGAGATCAACATCAGTGAACTTAGAATCAAGCGATGTATGAAAGTTCTGGCGGAACAGTGGCTCCTTCAGAAGGTTGTTTGCTAAAAAGTTATAAATTCATAATGAATTATATCGACACAAACGCAGACAGAGATTGAAAAGTGATGTAGGTAGAATGAGAAAAGGAAATCAGTTACCTCATGTTTAAATACTAAACACTGAATTAAATTTTGGAGTGAACTGCAAGACCTAATCCATCCAGAGTCAGAATAAAAATTTATATTCCCTAGCTCCTATTCTGATATTCTGCTGTACACACATGGTATTGATTTGTGCGCTACGTTTTGCTTTACTTTCCGTGCTATCAAAGTCAAGAAGTGTAGCGTGAGGTGAGCAGCCTAATTCTGCACTTAGACATGAGATTTTCTTTCAGAAGCGTGATATCACGCACAGCATGGGTAACATTTCCGCTCCTTCAGGGAACTGACGTGACCCTGCTGTTCCTCATCGCATGTAACGGCTCACAGTAGGGATGTGAAGATGTTAAGACGACATACAGAACAGGGGTGGGCCATTATTTTCACTTGCGGACCCTTTTACCAGCTTACCCAAAATTCAGTGACCAGTCTTCTCCGTCCACGTCAAAAAATAAACTCACAATATCTCTCTCGTGCCCGTACGTAGAAAAATTAGGCGCACACAAATAACACGAGATAAAGAAACCATAAAATAGACAAGGATTATAATAGTCCGAAAGTGTTATTTATTTACAATCTAGAAATAATTTAATTATATTTTAATGCCACTATGTATAGAAAATACATAAGGGAATATATAATTTGTTGTAGTCGTATTATTTTATTGTAGGTCGGATTAAATATTTACGGGCCGCTTTTACCCACCCGTGACATAGAAAAAGCTAGTGGCTTATCTTAGATACTAGAATTTGCCTATAATTGTCAAGGAAAAATAAATGTCTGGTTTTTTATTTCGACCACTAAAATACATGAACAAGAGAAAGGAATTGAATGTTTAGAAAAGGCGAGAGCAAACACGCAGAACATCGGGAAAAGGACACTATTATTTTTCTTTCAAGGTCAGTGCAATATATCGTTGCTAATAATTGAAAAATTGTCAGGATACTTTAATACATAAAATACCAAAAATCTTTTTATCAGTATCGATTTAGAAACATGGGTGTTTTCATACAGACAAAGCATTTCTGAATGACTTTGTAGACTGAATTGCATCCCTCTGTTACTGTAGCTTCACAGTTCTATCTAGGTTCCATGTAACATAAAGTTACAGGCTGCTCTCTGAATACACTGAGTGGCGGGGAAGAGAAGTGTGGCATTTCTTTCAAATTCTTATTTTGCCGGTTTTATTCTTTTATTGTTCCAGTTCTATGCAGAGTAATTAAGCGAATTCAGTTACGAAATCAGAATTTTACTCGTATTATAGGAGTCAAGAGATTTAAGCCAGAAATCTGCTGATGGGAACAGAGCAGATATCTTTGTCCTCATAAAACATATGACAAACATATACGTAAGCGACCCTACTACTCATACAAAAACACTTTGTATGAAAGTTGTGAATGTACTGGTTTCACCTCTCTTATGTTAGTACTGAGCGTCGAGTTTTATCTAACATAAACACAAATTCTGAAGTATTTACGGTATAGAATTTGTCATCCTCGCACCTAATTAAAAATGCATTGTCCAAAATTTGACTAAGCAATGAAATGTACATACAAATCATATCCCTGCACACCACACATTGAACTGAGCGGTTCCACAAACTCACATACGCTGACAGCTCAGTATCATGCACAGAGCGGTCCCCATCGCAGTTAAGTCTGGTGGATCGTCATTTTCTTAAAGGCATTCCTTACACTACAAATCAGATTGGCCTTCTTATTCGATGTTTTGATTCGGTCGCATAGAGGGACAGAGTTCTGTGTTGCTTTCAAAATAACACTAAAACACTTGTTATATTTAAAAGTAAGATTAAGTTATAGATAAGGCGGATAGTCGCTGGCTTCCCACCGCGGCGGCCCTGGTTCGATCCTGGGTCTGGTCAAGTGGGATTTGTGGTGGACAAAGTGGCACTGGGGCAGGTTTGCTCCGAGTACTTCGGTTTCCCCTGCCAATCTTCATTCCACCAATTGCTCCACAATCACCCCCACCTATCATCTGGGGTTGGTACAATAGGCCAGAAGTGGCCGGAGTACAAGGGACTTAGTCCCACCCCACTAGCAAAAAAAAAAGTTACAGATAACAGTTCACAACTGGAGGAGGGGGGACTTCACAGCGTAGACCGAAAGTTGGTTATGATTTTCACAGCTGATGATACGCTTAGAAACCTCTTGGGAGAGATAGGTGTAGACTGGAGTACACTATTATCGAGGTCCTTCGAGAAATAGGATGAGGATGTGAACTGGACTCATCTGGCTCAGGATACACTAAATGCGGCATACTATTGTTAACGCGAACATGAATGTTTGGGTTCTATTAAAGACAGGGGCTTCCTTCATTAGCTGAGCAACTATTAGAGCAAGTTTTGTTCAAATCGATCACATTCTTCACGGTTTTAGATCAGACTGCTTCTAAATATTATGTATAATATAATTTTCTGCCGGTCACAGTAGCCTCACGGTCTCAAGGCTGAAATGTGTTCTCTCGTTTGGACGCTGGGATCGTGGGTTCGAATCCCACTGGAGGCATGGATGTTTGGTATGTGAATGCATTTATTCCGTGTTTGTGTTGTCCTGTGTGTAGGTAGCGGCCTTGTGACGGGCTGATCACTCGTCGAAGGAGTCCTAAAGTCTATAAAAATGATTACGGAACTGAATAAGTGGTTTGGGCCCTGAATGGGCTTGAAGAACCATTGAAAAAATATATATACATAATTTTCCATAGCACATTTGGAATATTTAAAATTTATATCTTGGAGCTGCTTCTGAAATACACTGATGCATCTATTTATTCATTACGTCATGGATTTTGCCTGTTTTTTGTAAAATGTCTGTCCTATACAGCGCGCACTGTCACTGACTTATAGGCTCCTGTACATATGACAACCTTGGTGCATGCAACTGCCCAACGACAAAGTTAAATTACATTAATTTCTCTCTAACCCATTGTCTCTGAACCGATGAGGATAGACAAATAAGATTAATTTAACAGTTAGCCCATATATTTCCTTAAGAGTAATACAGAACTAAACGCTACTTTTCCTCAACCCATTACAGTTTAAAGATCAATAATGAAATATATCTTCATGCTTTGCAGAGAAAATGGGTAATATTATTAGCTTTATATCCACAAATTTCATCCACCCACACATCCACGATATTTTTAATTGAATTAATTATTTGTATTTTCAATGCAGTGTGGAACAGAAGCTGGAGGAAGTTATGAAGTAGTACATACTAGGTATGAATATAAGGACATAAAGTACATAGCCTGTGTGAGGAAAGTGAGTAATTTGCACAAAATATCAGTAGGAAAATCTGACGGGAAAAGACAACTTAAGAGAACTAGACCTAGATATAAAGATAATATTGAAATATATTTTAAAGAGCTAGGATATAAGCATGTGGAGTCATTCATTTAGCTCAGATAGAGCCCAGAAATAATTTCTTGTGAAAACGTGAACCCCTTAGATTCCGTAAATAGTTAGAAATTTCTTGATAAGCAGAAAGATTATAAGTTCACATAAAGACTCTGCTCCAGGAGACTGGCTTGTAAACACACAACATATTTTAAATTCTTAAAGCACTGAAATGTTGAAACAACGGCTAGAAAGCCACAGTTGACGTGGACGACAAAATAAATGTGAAAACTTTCACCACTTTATATCATATATTTCATGTGCCATGATGTCGGTGTATAACGGATTGATGTACTGTTCATAGTATTACACCCCGGCGAATCAGATCAACAGCGCAGAAGGAGACCAGGTTCACAGCAACACGCATACCCAGGTCTGATGGCGGTAAAGTGCAAGCTGCGTCAGGTCCGGACACCAGAGGCTGCCGGCCGCTTCAACTGACACCAGTGCATACATTCCCACCCACTTCCATCACCCACATTTAGATAAACACTATTGGAAATTACAAATTTAAGTGCCTCCATAAATTGAATTCAGTCCCTTCAAGAATGCGGCCCTCAGCGAAGGGACAACGGCGGCTACCGAGACTGTCAACATGTGTCACATGTGTTCTGACCGGATTTCCATTCAAAGAGCCAATACAATTTTCGTATCAAAACAAGAATAAACGGGGGATTCGTAAAAGAGGTGTCAATTTATATCAAATCTGACACTGTATTTTGTTTATAATACGAATGAATCATGCATAATAATTTGTTTTGCAATCCTCATGTTTTGTATATACATACAGTTAGTTAATTAGTTAGTTATTGGAGAGGGTGGGTTTCCCCATGCACTTAGACCTGTATTGATCCACTGTGCTTCCCTCTATGATTTCTACCAGTCTCTATATCCTGCCGGTACTGGTGCTTACCATCAGTCCCGCCCAGCCAGCGAGACTATACATACAGTTTATCTGAACATTTACTACAATGTTGCATTACACCACCATTCTTCTAAATAATTTTAAATGATTACTTATATGATATCCATGATAAGCACATGGGCTTACAGTATCAGTATTCCGATATAAATTGGCATATCTACGAGTAAATATACAAATCAAACTATGGACTCTATGCTTGTAACACAGTCACTGTCACTTCTGTCAATTTTGGTAAGGACACGTGACCACGAAATAAGAAAACTTCCTGCAGAAAAGTGAAGAAATAATTTGTGAACCTACAGCCTCAGATTCAACTGCCTGCACTAAATTACTCCGTTTTTTGTGGTATTTTACTCCTCTCAACCCTCCACGGATTGTACTCGTGCAATGTACTGCAATGGGACTGGATACTGCAGAATGCTGGGAGAGTATGCATTCTGTAGCAATACTACTGAAACTCTTTACATGGTAAGGTACGTTACCATAAGCCTTCTTCATGGTTGCTGTATTTGAATTGCCAGCTTGCAGAAGATACATACCGTATTTACGCATGTATAGGCCGCATATTTTTTGCCAATAATTCAAAAGGAAAACTGGGGTGCGGCTTATATTCGAAATATTCGAAGTCACACTTCATTTAAAAAAAAATTATATTTGCCAAATTTCGGAATAATTTCTACTCCTGAAATAATATTCTAAGAAAATTATTTTTTCTATAATTTCTGTCTGAAAATTATGCTGCGGCCTATAAACGCACGCGGCCTATACATGCGTAAATACGGTAAATGAAATGTCTTTCATTACTGCGAACTGGAATTTGTCCAATCAACTAATGCCATTAGAAAGAGTTGAAGATTTTATCTCACATAAATATATTCATTACTCCTAAATTAAGTGAGAAAGGACGGTCCAAAGCGAGTATAGCAAAATATTACACATTCATTTCATTCTTTTATAGGACAGTTTGCAGGTACGAGTATGCCGGAGTGTAAGAAATTCGGAGTGAAACGTTTAAGTAGATTCTAAAGGGTTCTGACGATGGTGGACGATACACAGAATTACTGGGTTTCTGGACTATTTCCATCGTGCGGAATTCTAGGTAACAGAAGGCAAGACGTTTCGGAAACTGGATGTCTTTCCTTATTCAGGTGAGGAAAGAAGACACCTAGTCAGTTGGGCCCCTTAGAAAGAGCTAATCTCATTCACTGAACGATGATTGAGATTAGCTCTTTCCAAGGGACCCAACTTACTACGTGTCTTCTTTCCGGACGATGGGAAAAAATTAAAAGAAAACAGTAATTCTGTGAAACGTTTAAGATTTCAATAGTTCAAATGTTATTCAGTAACACCACAAAAACTAATAAGGAACAGATAAAAATGTACATAAGAATGCGAATCTGAGTTGGTTTCTAATATTCCATCAACTTGAAAATAATATAACTACAGCTTAATATTTAGTTCATGCTGAGAGGCAAAGAGCATCATGAAATGACTAAGATTATAGAAAAGACGACTGTGGAAAACTGCAATGTTTTCTCTCAAGTTTCTATGGAAGGTACGAGAAGGATGTGCACACTTCGAAATACACGTAGCTTGTTTCCTGTTCAGTTCAGATAGCTGTAGAACTAGTAGGTCAGGCATTAAGTTCGGAGTTAAAAATTTGTATTAATTTTATACTAAAGATTTACATATTTAATATAGCCTAGACACTATATAAAGGGTAGACTGTTCATGAAATTCAGTTTTAACAAGCAAGGAGGACGTTCTAAGGTGATGTCAGAATGAATAAATCATTGTATTGAACTTACGCTTGGTTGAATCAATGGACTGGCATTGAGTTAAAATCTTTAACTGTTGGGCTTTCTATTGGAACTACAGCAGCTGGCATCAACAACCTAACAGACAAAGCAAACAGAAGGTGGTCTGGGTGCAGGTGTGACGTAGAACAGTAGAGCCGTCCTTCCGTCAGTGAGACGGGTCGTAACAGAAATTCTAAAAACAATTACTAGAGACAAACAAGGGATGTTCTTGTACGATCTGGAGTTTCAGGAGGCAACATACGTTCTGAATTTCATATTGTGTAGCATAACGAAATGCAATGAAAAGAGTTTTATTTGGTTACTAAATATTTATCCTAATTAAACGGCATTAAACAACTTAAAATATTGCTTTGTATGGATTAATTCTCTAGTCTATAATAGAAGGGCCAGAGATCGCGAACTGTATCTGTGGCATGGGCCTCTTTCAAAGATATCAGAGCAGACTAGATCAGGTCTCAGCTATTCTGATGATTAAGCAGAATCTTCCACTCTTAAAACTGTGTTTATACAGAGTGTGTCGAGCTATACTACATATAAAAGTCGGCTATGGCATAATACACATGTTCTCAGTCTTCTTATGTTCCTTTTTGATGATTATAATTCTCTTGATTAGTTAGTTTAAACCATGACATTCATATTGCAGACCAATAAAGAATGCTGAATATTGACTGAAATTTAAAAAAAAAAAATTGGATGCAAAGTGACTGTATTATGACTAAAGAGCGAGAAATATTGAAGATTATTTAAATTAATTTTTTCGGTCCCTTGATGTCGGTCTCTCGCAGCCAGCGGTTAAATTCTCAATAAAACATTCATCACTTCCTTTAGTTGCGTCATAAATTCTGACTCTTGTATTTAATTCCTTACATTAGAATGTAAGGTGTTAATTGAATTACAGGAAAGTTGCCAAATAATTTCTACGTCCTGCTTTTCTTTCATACCTAAAAAATACAAAATGTTGATAAATATAGAAAAATATAGCACATATGTTTCTTTGAGTCAAGTACAAAATTCAAATCTTGGATAAACTTCTTTGACAATACATATATTAAAATTAATAACTTTTTGGCGAGGTTATGAGGCTGGGGTATAACTACCGGCTACAGAGATAGTCAAGGCTTCCGTGTTCCATGTTCTCCTCGTCTTACTATCTGCGACATAGCGAAGAAATTGTCGTAAGCCGTAACGTATGATGAAACAAGGCTGAATTATACAAAAAAAAAAAAAGAATAAAACTCCAAATAGCACCTATAGTACGTGGCATTCTCTGTCCAGCCGATATTTGGCTCCATCGAACTCTCATTGTGGCCAACGCTACCTTCAGTAAACAGCATATATTCTGCGATTCATGTCAAAATATTTCCTTATATCTAAAAAAAAACTATGCTCAGTGACATAACCAAAGTACAAAACTTTCTTACAGCAAAAACATGGCACACTCAGCCGTTGAAAAGCTTCTATGCTAAATTTTAAAAGCTTTTCATTGCAAAACAAATCAACAGAGTTTCACAGCCGCTGAGCAGATAGATAATGCTTCCTAGTGACTAACTTTGAAGCCCTGCACCCACTGTGTGGCTGTGATACAGACATGGGCCGTGTTCGGAGACCGAGAAATAATCGGTGACTTATGTAAAAAAAAAAGTGCTTAAAATATTCAGGCTCAAAAGTGTGTAATATTATTTCGTACGGAAATATTTTCGGATACTGACACAGCTTAAGTAATTTATAAACCTCGCAAACTCGTAGAGTAGGAAAATTTTTTAATTCTCGGTCGACTAGGTAGAACTCCTGCTTCGTGTCTGTGAGGCCCTGAGTTCAAATCTCGGCCCAGAGATCGGCAACTCAGATTTAGCTTTTCCATAACTTTTCTCAGTCCCGCCAGTCGAGCGTTGGAATATTACCTCGAATTAGGTCACAACAGCTTCCTTTCACATCCACTGAAATTCATTATTCCCTAATCGACCACTTATTTAATGCTGTAAAGTAGGCACTATCATCGCCGACATACAGCGGGAGCGCGGTCGGTATAGTTTGCTTGCGGACTAAAACCACGATGTTTGTTTTGTTTTGTTTTGTTTTCTAGGCGGAGCAACTGACAGAGTCATTATAAAAGTATAAATGAATAATACAAACGATACAGATCTGTCTGTCGGATTACTTTCTATATACAGAAAATATGAAACTGCAACTGCTAAGACGACAGGGGAAAGAGGACAGACTGTGCACAGCGAAATGCAGGCGGCGACTTAATTTTTTTGTTTAAGGTACGAACTTTTTTTTAGACAGATAAGGCAATGGTATATACCGTTGGTAGGGTTTATATGTGGAGTAACGTGTGAAACTAAGCGGCCTCCGTAGTCTAGAGGTAACGTTCCTACCTCATGACACGTGGTACGCGGGTTCAAATACCCGGCGGAGGTCGTCGAATTTTTAAGGGCGGAAAAAATCAGGGAAGAAGTCTTCCGGGAGGGACTTTAAGCTGTGTGTCCCGTGTCGTAACTTTACGGCACGTAAAAGAACCTCATATCCCCAAAGGGGATCACTGAGCCAAATTCCAGGACGTTTCCCGCCCAACAATAGTCTCTAAGGCCTCTGATAGATGGGGGAAGCATTATAGACACCGCTAAGGAAGTGGCCGAATTC